ATTTATGTCTTATTAGGGTTTCGAGCTTTGCATGTTATTAGCTATTTGACAACTTCTGGTTTTTCATATTATCATTATTTGTGTGAGGTATGAAGGAAGAAGAAACAAACCTTTGGAGAGGAGGAGTGGAGAAACGGACTGGAGGCGCTTAGGGCGGCCAAGGCGAGGGAGCGCGATGCTGTGAGCTTTGGAAATCTGGTATTCAGTATCTTGCTTTTTGTGGTTTTATGACGACGATTCTGAAAACCCTAGTCTTAATCGCTTCTTTTCCTCTTCTGCTTCTTTGGACACTTGCCTCTGAATACTTGTTGTTCTGATATCTGAGTTTTGGCTCGCTCAATGATGAACTCAGTTCTGAGAGCTTTGGGATTTGCTTGATATGCTGATTTTGAGTATTGCCTTGATGATGTTTATGACCCTATGATGAGCCTAGCTCCGAGGGCTTTGGTTGGTTTGAATGCTTTATGCCTTTTGTTTTTTGGTATAGGCTTGCTGGGTTTTACAGGCTACACAGGGCGTTGAGTTTATAGATAGCAGGCTTTGTTTGTAAAGGCTTTTTTCTGGCTTCAAGGCTTCAAGGTTTGAAGGCTGTTAGGTTAGAGACAGGTTATAGGCTTTTGCTTGTTATTTGGACTGTGTTGAAACAGGTTAGCAGGTTTGTTGATGGCTTGTGTAGAGGTTTATCAGTATAGGCAGGCTTCAGGCTTGTATGCTGGTTTTGATTTATGAGTTCAGTATGTATGGCCTTGAGGGTTTGAACAAGTTTGTAGGCAGGTTGATGGCTTCATGTTTGATGCAGGTTTAGGCTTGAGCAGTTTGATGGCTTCATGTTTGGTGCAGGTTTAGGCTTTTGTTCGTTTAAGCTTGTGTTTCTGGTTTGTTTGGGAACACAGGTTTGGAGGGTTTCATTTGGTTTTGGAGGCAGGACATTGTTGGTATTCTATAACAGTTTGTGTTATTTTTTGTTATATGATATTCTGCCTCCTCTTACTGTGTTCAGATATGTTTGTTTATATCTTTTTCTAAGCCTCAAGCCTGTAAGCCTCTACTTCTTTTTCTCCTTTTCCTCTCTCTCCACAGATTTTAAAAAGCATTTTTATTGCTTTAGATGTACTATTCTGAAAAAGTACTGGCCTTGGAAAGTGATGATAATTTGAATATGTTTGCATGGTCCCTTTCCTCTGTGTACTTTCAAGATTTCCTGCATATCTTGTGTACTTTATTGACAACTTTTGTACCTTTTTTTTAGACAGTTCTGCACTTGAACAATTTAGTTGATATTCAGTTTGCCTTTTGGACTTGGTTAGGCATTATGGACTTATAGTTTGTACATGCTGTTTGTTTTGAAACTGTGCAGCTTGTTGACAATTTGAATTTGTGCAATTTGTTTCTTTGTCATTATGCAGCCTTGTGCATTTCCATATTTTTGCAAGCATATTTCTATCCTTCTTTGTGAACCAAGAGTAATTCTTGTGATTTGCAGAGAGGGTGAACAACTGATTCTGGCCAGTTACTTTTAATGATGAATTTTAAATTAACTGTCTGCTTTTTTCTTTATTTTTCATCTGTATTGACTTCTTTTCCTTTTCTTTTTTCAGGTAAAATCAATTGAGCAATGAGGAGCAGTAGAAGATGAAGATTTAGAAAACTTAGGATATAGCTTTATTTTACCTTTAATTATTTGTAATAACATTATTTGTAAATACTGTAAATGTATTCAAATAACATTTGTACTCAATAATTAAAAGTAAATAAAAGTTTAATCCTTTTTAATTCTTCTTCAAATGTTTATTTAATTATTTATAATTCTTAAATTATAATAAATGGAAATAAATCTAAATTATTCTAACTTAGAATAAATAATTAATTAATAAATACTGTAGTCTTGCAATCAATAATAAACCCGGCGTCCCAATTAACCATAACAATGCACAGTCAATCACAACAAATGTCCACATGCTTATCTCTTTACTGATTAAATCAAACACTGCAAACTCTCAATCAACAGCCTCAATCCATATCTCAGAGTAAATTGAAAAGAACTGTAGAATTAATTCTTTCTGAGAATGCGCGCACAAAACCCTGATTCGTGATTTAATTTTCACAGAAGCGCCTGCCTGATCAAACTTTGAGCCAAACTCAACCAAACCCTAATAATCTGCTTGAACTGTTCCAGAGCCATGAAAATCCTAATTTGGATAGACTGATAAGAAGACGCCTATTTGACTGATTCTTACGCCAATCTGACAAATCAGGAAAAGCCCGAAGCTGTGATTTCTTGTGGAAAAATAGGAGGGCAAATTTTGGGGTACAACACACACTTACAACATAATTAGGATAGTGAAGTGACTTTTTCAACTTAATTGATCAAATCTCCAATGTCAAATTCCTTTTTGTTTAAACTTACCGACTATTCTTATTACTTAATAAGTGAAGTTACTTCATTTACTTACCGACTATTACTTTTGTGCTTTGAGTTTTTAAACTTTCAATGCTAATTTATCTATCCTAAAATAAATTGTGCAGATTTTCGTAATGACGTCTAATTAGTCTTGATGTTGGATTGATACTGCTACTAGCACATTAAAATATCTCCACTTTCAACATTCAAGTACATATTCTGTCTTAACATTATTTGTGATATGCTGAATATGATTCAGATGATATGCATGGGAAACTAGTTTTCAATTTAGATTTTAAAGCATTCGACATGGTTCCGCAAAGCTCAACTTTAATATGATGTATGAATACGAAACTGGACACAATTTTATAATTGAGAGTGTTTACATATTGTATCTAGAACAACATCCAAGTTCTTGTGAAAGTAACTTCCTTTGGAATATTTACTTTACTTGGTGGTGAATTAACACCTTTAAGGGCATTCACCTCAGTGTCATTATTTTCGGTTTTGCGATTTCCTTTAAATATGCTTTCAAATTTAATAAATCTGATTGTTTTTTTGCTCTCGTATCATTAAGTTATTGCTCTTTTTAATTTTACCATTGCAATTATCAAATGAATATTGTTTAAAGAGATCAAGGTATGATATATTTGTTTGTAGTATTTAGGGAAATAAGGCATGGTATTAGTTTGTATTTTGCAAGTAATCACGGGAAACAATTTTAGTCTTTGCATAATCAACATATTTTAACTAAAACATCTATAAAAGAATGGTGTTACTTTTATTTAACTTATCTTTATTTTTTTATTTAAATTGAGAGCTTTTTATGTAATGGTGAAATAAATGTAGAGCTGTTAAACTCTTGAATTCTATTTTTATTGCTGATCCTTTTTCTATCACCAATTCTTCTGGTAGATTAAGAAGTATATAACATTAATTATTATATACCAGAGCTTCATCTTTGAACTGTGATGTTATGTTAATGGATCATGTAGTAGTAAATATATTATGCTTGGTTTGTAAGTTGCAATTACAAAAGGTACATTTGATTAAAAATATCTCTATAATTTATGTGAATCCAAAATCAATATGTGCCCAAATATGTGATTAAGGCTCTAAAAGTTAAAAAAATAATTGTTAACTCACATGTTTTTTTTTAAGAGACAAAGGAGTTATATTAAAACCAAAACACTAAAAGTAGCACAAGGAATGCTACCTATCAAAATATTTATTGAGTTACATATTTATTTAATTGTACTTTTGGTTTAGTTAAATATTTTAGTTATATTCATACAAGAAACTTATAATCATGTCACTTAAAAATGATAGTAACATAAATCCGGCACATCAGTGATTTTATACGATTGTATTTTAAAATAAATTTAATTTATTTATTTATTTTTTAAAACACGGGTATTGATATGATACGCGTATATAATATTAATATTAAATTATTAATTTAAAAATTAAATAATAACAAGAATAAGTATTATATGTTTATACGAGTAATACACCAATATCACACACGAGTTATAATATCAAAATTCCTATAAACGTAGGAGTTAATATATTTTTTATACAATTAAAGAAAATAAAATTAAAAATAATGTATTAATTCAAACATGATAAAAATGTTATGTTTTGTTTTTTTTTTAATTATTTATGTGTCTAATATTTTTATTTTGAAATCATTTATAATTTAAGATACAAAATCATAGTAACATATAATATATGGAAAATCAAAATATATATTATTGATGTAAAATGATTTTGGTAAAATAAATTTATTTTTATTTTAAAAAATGTCTTTCTATTAATAATATGATCAAAATATTGAATATTTATGGAAATATGAAGTTATTGATAAAAAAATGAATATTAACGAAAATATAAAGTTATTAATCAAAATATTAAATATTAACGGAAACATGAAATTATTAATCAAATTATTGAATATTAACGAGAATATTTAATTATTGATCAAAATATTAAGTATTAACTAAAACATGAAATTAGTGATTAAAATATTAAATAATAACAGAATCGTGAATTTACTAATTAAAATATTAAATATTAACAAGAACATGACTTTGATCAAACTATTGAATATTAACGATAACATGAAATTACTAATCAAAATATTGAATATTAACAGGAACACGAAGTTATTGATCAAACTATTGAATATTAAAGAAAACATATAATTACCAATTAAAATATTAAATAATAATATAACAACTTTACTGTTGGTTTAAATATTTTTAACAATAATTTCCAAACAAAAATAATATAAAAAATATATCATTAATTCAAATATTTTTATATATTGAAATAATTATAAACACCAATTTATTATATATTTAAAAAAAATTATTATTATTTAATTATATTTTAAAAACAAATACACGTACTAATATCTATTAATTTGTTAAAAAAAAAAATGTTAGAGTCAAATAAAAACGAGTCATCTAGAAAAAAAAAAAGGAAAATGATCATGATTATAAATTGAAGATATAAGAAGAAAAAAAAAAAAACCCACCGCAGTGTTGGTTCAATTTTGTTCTCTGATTCTGAAACTGTGGAAGTCAGTCACCGCTAGACCTCAGATTCTTGTGAAACTTGCGCCATTCTGTAAGAACCAACTCCTCCACAATTCTCCATCATTCTACTGTATATCAACTATCACTAATATTTTTTCTTGCCGATGTTGTTCTCTTTAATCTCTGTAATTCATCTTGAGTTGTTTTCCCCTATTTTGGTGGTAATCAATCTTCAAATTGGCTACTTGATGCATGCCGTTGATAGATGAAATAGGAATTTATATGTTCAATTTACAAAACCCTAACATGCTTTGTTGAAATCAATTTGATATATACTTCATTTAATGTTGGTGATAGTCCATTCATTGTGGATTTATTCCATCTTTAGGCTGTGTTTCCTGACTTGAATATTCTCTTCTTATTGTTAGATTTCTTCGATAACCAATCTAATTAATGTAACTCAATCATATATTGCTGTTTCTTTCAATGTGTGTCTACTATCTTCCTTCATGAGATCGATGCCGTGTCATCTACATGCATCCATCCATAAGGGCATAAGTGCTTATAATTTTGTGCCTTAAGGCATTGGCATGATCCGCTTCGAAATTACAATAGTTTCTTGATCAGCAAAAACAAGTTATTAGAATGACAATTGTTTTATGTGTTTTATTTAGTTGATGATTCTATATTATGAGTCAAATTTTGACATATTCTTTCTTCTCTCAGGATTACACTGCTCATTTTTCTTGGACCCGTGCTATTGTGGCTGGATTTTTTCACGATTTCTGCCATCATCCTTTTATGCTGACCTATCTTTGTATTTTAGAGTATTCTTGTAATTCAAATAGTTTCAGAATTGAAATATCATCTTGTACACCTGTAAACATTTAATATTTTAGTGCTACTATATATCCAATTTGATAAACTTCTATGGTGTCTGATGATTTGCATTGAATTCACGCTTTCGATATATTACTTTTGTTTCTTGCTTTGACTAACTTTATGTTACTTTTTTGTGTTTCCACCTCTAAATATATTCTTGAATTCACATGAAACCTTGTAGATTTATATTGTTTATACGTGGAAAATGGAGAACAACTGACTTCATCTGAATTCTTGGATACACTTCCTAAGCAGTGAAGAATGGAGACTTTAGCTCAACTGGAAGCATTGTGTGAGAGGCTTTATAACTCATCGGATTCTGTTGAGCGAGCACACGCTGAAAGCACTCTGAAATGTTTTTCCTCAAATGCTGACTACATTTCGCAGTGCCAATATGTTCTCGATAATGCATCCTCTCCATATGCATTGATGTTGGCTAGTTCAAGCTTGTTGAAGCAAGTCACAGAGCAAAGCCTTCCTTTACAGCTCCGGATTGATATTCGTAATATTCTTGCTTACTTGCAGATGATTAAAACTAGGAGTATTTTAGGGGCTTTATTTCTCCATTTTCCAAACACGATTTTACTGAGTGCGGTTTCAGCATAAGTAGATACCGTCAATAATAGCACTATTTTATTTTCAGGTTCTTTTGGGAAATTTGTATTCATAATTCTGAATTGTATTGCTGTCATTTTTTAAACTTAGAGTTACTATATTCTTTTATCCATATTGATCAGATTGCTATTTTTCTGAAGGAAACTATCTCTTAAACTATCTGGCCAGTAAAGGACCTGAATTGGAGCCCTTTGTCCTTGGATCGTTGATCCAACTTTTATCTCGTATTACAAAGTTTGGGTGGCTAGATGATGAAAGATTCCGGGAGGTTGTTAAAGAGGCAACAAACTTCTTGAGTCAGGTGAAATGACATATTTTTATAAGATAGCTACATCTATGTGAACAAGCCACTTTCTATATTTCACAGCCATTTTGTTTAGTACATGGCATTTATTTGATGTATAAATGACATTCAAACCAAATTTCATACATTGATGGCTACATTATATTAGCCTTAACGACCCCTTTTGGTTTAGTGTTTCTCTTGTTTCTGAAAGCCCCTCTCTGACTTCTGATTTTAGATGCTGTATAGTCCACCCAAATGCAGCAAAGTTTAAAAACATTTCACTTTGCCACGTAACTTTAGCTTGCCTTCTTTACTTCTTCAAATATATGTTGAACTGATTAGAAGAATGGTGTCACGCCCAATATTTATTTTTCACTGGTGATGCCATGGTGGATTTTGTGCCAGCCACCATAGGCTGCAATATCTATTATATCCGCCATACTTTTGCAATTTGCCGCAACACCATGTTTGTATGAAGGATATTTGGGAATATGGTGGTTTAGGGTTGTGATTTTTTCTTTCTAGATATTTTTGTTCTGTTTTATTTTCTTTTGATTGGTTTTCACCTTTTTTATTTTTTTTATTTTAAATTCTTCTCTGTTTGTATTATTATACGTCTAATTGCATTGAATTTTAATCTCACATAGTCAATACTTTTGGCAGGCACAATATCATTATGCTATAGGTTTGAAGATATTGAATCAGATTGTTTCCGAGATAAATCAGGTTTGTGTGAATATTTAATGTTTCAATAAAAAGTAATCATTTAATAGCAGGCTATACGAAAACACATTGCACTTGCTATATATCTAGTTGAAAGGAACATGTTTCTGAATAATATTCACACAATTAATCTGTATATAGGTAACTTTGAAATTTATAGGCTTAGCTAATGATAGGAAAAATAGCTGTAAAATCTGTTCTTATGAAGGGTTCTACTGAGTAGTGATGATTATTGGAGTGATCAATCAGAGAACGATAACCTCGTGTCATATTTGATCTTAATGTTACTTTGGTGATCTACCACATGTTATATTTGTTTTGAAATTCTGAATTTTTATTTAGCTGATGGTTTTGTTGTTTTTACGTATTTGTTTCTGTGTTCTTCATTTTCAGCATACTGTTGGGTTACATGCTACTCGTCAACGTAGGATTGCAATCTCTTTTAGGGATCAATCCCTTTTTCGGATATTCCAGATATCGTTAACTTCTCTCTTCAAGTTAAAAGCGGATGGTATATTGAATATTTGATATGATGGTCATACACGTATACATTCATTATTTGGAGTAATAACACAATCCATTCTCTAAATTTTGTAATTGTGTTTTATGTAAAACTCTTAGTTGGGAGCAAGTTGCAGGAACTGTCTCTGATGCTTTCCCTTAGTTGCTTATCATTTGATTTTATGGGGACATCATATGATGAAAGCTCAGATGAGATTGGTACTAATCAGGTATATATATTCCTTTGTTAATAGATGGTTGTCTCTATTGCCTTCCCCTAGTTTGCAGTTATTTATTTGGAATTCACATTATTTTTACAGGTTCCATTAACTTGGAAACCTGTCCTCGAGGATCCCTCAACATTGCAGATATTTTTTGACTTTTATACAATGAATCAGCCATTTTCGAAAGAGGTTTGTTTCTATTAATTTACTTTGATAGGAGAGTCAATGCCTTCTAAATTTTTTTATTGAATAATGAATACATTATTTTTGGTGTCGTTTGAATCACCTGTCCAGATTATTTTTTCTACTTTTGTTTGGTTGTGATAAATTTAAGTCTCACAAGAATTTCTTACTTTGTGGAAAACTTAATTTTTCTCTTTATCTTGCTTTATTTACTCCTCCTAAGTAGTTTACCCTCAGCTACCTTGCAATGGTCTTAATTTTAGGTTAAAATTGTTGATTGCATTTGAGTCTGATGCCTGGTGTTTTTGTTAATTTTACTTATGCCTGAAACCTTTGCTTCTTTCAATACTATGACATGGGTTGTTATCCTCTTTAGACAATACTGTTATGTTTATGATTTGGTTGAAGTTAAGAATGTTTTTGACCTATGCTATCTTATGTCTGCAATTGTTCAGGTTTACTGAACTAGTAAGGTCTGACACTATTTGATCAATGAATATAGTATTTGAGCATTGCCTATTTACTTTACATTTTACGAGCTAGTAATATCTATAGCCTAAACATAAATATGGGTCTGTGAGGAATAATAATGAGTCAACTACAAGACCCCTCCCTGCAAGTCTATCAAAAGTTATCAGTAAGGATATTTTTGGTCTTTTGTAGTCAGTAAGTTTAGTTAGGATATATTTTTTTGTTTTGGATCTCTACGCCCTATTGTACATGATGAATGTCTACATATAAGACTTCCTTTCTCCCTTTCAGGGATCTTTTTGGCAATTGTAGTTTTGACTGGAAATTCCAGTGAAGGAGAGTATTCTCTCGTGTACCTCTTACCTTCTTCAGTCAATAAACTGTAGGGACGGATAAACTCCCTTTCTACTAATATTCTTCCAAAGAACTCTAACAGGGTCCTTTGTTTCTTGATTTTTACCATGATAGCAAAATTCTAAATTTAAATATGGTATTTCGCTTTATCATCAGTATGTAAAGAAACTCCTGTATATTATGTTTTTTGATATAATGTTTTGATAACATGTAGGCATTGGAATGCTTGTTGCGTCTTGCCTCTACTAGACGATCTTTGTTTTCTGATGATACTGCCCGATTGAAGTTTTTGTCACAGTTAATGCTGGGCACCAAAGAAATTTTGCAAACTGGAATAGGTAAACCATATTTTTGCCTCCGGCTTATTGTGCGTGTGCACATATATTACCCTGCTAGTGTAATTTAGAGTTATCAATCTCGAAATAAACACATAGGCCGATCCCAAAAATACCGCAATTACAATTCAAGTGGTTAATGCATTTCAAATAGGTGGAGGTTAATTACATCTAGTAGATGGTTAATGGATATATCAGATGTCATGTCTAAACTCATTAACCATCAACTTAACTTCATAAACCACGAATTTGGATATGATCAACTACAATTTTAAGGTGCTCAAATCTACTTGTAGTTGAACAATCACATTAATCACTTAAAAATTTGTCGCGGAAGTTGTCTAAATAGGTCTAGGGATCTAGGAGGAAACACCCAATATGCTCCAGAAAGGTTAAATAATCAATTCCATGTAGAAACAAACAGCCTATCAATGTTAGGGTGCCCGTGGAAATGATCACTTCACATTCATTATTCAAGTGAAAATAGGCATATAAACGTCCTCGTTAGCATTGCTTTATTCCTTTATTATGTTTCAGTTCATGGAAATTTATGTTCCTAATATTTTTTTTCCAACTTCCCATATTTAATTCATTGTAATACAGGTCTTGCTGATCATGATAACTATCATGCATTTTGTCGGCTTCTTGGCCGCTTTAAAGTAAATTATCAGGTAAGTCAAATGCTCTTACTGATTCTTCCTGTATCTCGGATAATCTTTAGACCCATTTCCTTTAACTGTAGACATGGTTTTATGGTTTTTTTCTATCTAAGATTTTTATATGAAATGCACATCTAGGTTAGCACTATATATTAAACGCAGAAATGAAGAGAAATAAAAAAGGAACAACATCAAATTAGAATAATTTGTTTCTTCCCTAAAATACAATTTTCAATGAGAATCAAATTAAATCAATACTCAGCTGTCAATACAATTGTCAACATCCTCAAGTTGGCACCTAGATATCTATCATGCCCAACTTGCTACAAGAAATTCAAAACTGTGCCTAAACAATCCTTTTGTAAGGATATCATCAACTTGTTGTGAAGTAGGCACAAAAGGCATACATATCAGGACTGTGTCCACTTTCTCCATTATAAAATACCTATCAATTTCAACATGTTTGGTTCGGTCATGTTGAACAGGATTTTAAGAAATACTAGTTGCTGCCTTGTTATCACAACACAACTTCATTGGGAGAGTTATATGAACTTTCTGTTCTTCTAGAATTCTTTGAACCCACAGAATCTCACAAACACCTTGGGCCATTGCCCTATATTCCGCCTTAGTACTACTTGCTACCACATATTTTTTTTGTTTTTTTGCTCCGCCAAGTAACTAAGTTTCCCCAAACAAATGTGCAGTAACTAGATGTTGACTTCCTATCTGAAATAAATCCTGGTCAGTCTACATCACTAAATATTTCAATGCCTTGTTGACCTGTTTTCTTAAAGAACAATCCTAAGCCTGGAGCACTTTTCAAGTATCTTAGAATGCGGAAGATATCTTCTAAATGTTCCTCATGTGGCGAGTGCATGAATTGACTCACTAAACTGACAACAAATGCTATATCTGGCGAGTATGAGATAAATAAATTAGCCTACCTACCAATCTTTGATACTCAGATGTTTCCGATCAAGATAAGGAGTTAAACGGCTAGATGAAAGTAAATTAATTGGACAATCAGCAAAGAATCTGTTGTGCAGAATCAACTGATTCTGTTTGTACAAATCATATTTACAACTCATAGAACTTTATATAAATTAATTAGTTGACTGTTACCGTCTTTTACCGTCTTTATCAGTTAATCTTAGCATTGATAGGAATAATTATTTTCCTGATTTCTAGGCTAAATTGGCTCTACCCTCTTTGCCCTCTTTACTATATATACATCTCATGTAATATTTATCAATTCAATGAAATATAAAAACATATTTCTGCCGAAGACATTCTCTTACCTTTTCCTCCTTATTTCTTTATTTCCACTGTAGTTATCAGAACTTATAAATGCGGAAGGCTATAGTGATTGGATACGCTTAGTAGCAGAGTTTACATTAAAATCTTTGCAGTCTTGGAAGGTATGCTTCTATGACTATTTAATATGTTTCCCAGGGCCACTGAAATATATATTTTGTTTGGTGAAGGATAGGAGCTGTATGTCGGGCTTTCTTTATGATTGGAGGGTCATCGAGATTGATAAATTTCTTTTTCCATCTTTCGGACGCTGCCTGTATTGTTTTCATAGTTTCAATTAATTGTTTACTTAATAATTGTGCTTTTTTTCTCTCTTTCAGTGGGCTGGCAGCAGTGTTTACTACCTTCTAAATTTATGGTCTAAATCAGTGACGTCTGTGCGGTATCTCAAGAGTGACAAACCTTGCCTGCTAGATGAATATGCCCCTAAAGTTATAGAATGTTTTGTATCATTGAGATTTGATTCATTGCAGGTCAGGTGTTTTTGTACTCTTTTACAGTGATGCGTTAAGTGAGTGAAGTGTTTTTTTTCCTCAACATGACCTTAAATAATTGATTAATTACAGTCCGAACTATCTGATGAACTTGGTGAAGACCCACTTGACAATGTAGAAGTGCTTCAAGATCAGCTTGAATTTTTCCCTTACCTCTGTAGATTTCAGGTTCATGCTTTTTCATTCTTCTCCTGAATTTCATATTACCGTATGTAAAAAATTATATTCTTTGAATATCATGTAGTTTATTCTTTGAATAACTATCTTTGCTTTTGAGTTCTTTATTGTATCGTTGAATTTCAGTATGGAAGTTGCAGTTCATATTTAATGAAGATAGTGGAGCCTATCATACAAAGCTACATGGTATTCTTGCAGTGGTTGTTCTTCGTAAAGTGTTTTAGGTTTTATTGTACAATTGGCTGATTTTGTTATATTTTTTATTTATGTGTAGAAGGTTGCAAATCTCCAAATCCCCATGAATAGCTATGAACTTTCTGTAACTGAAACCAAACTTGCTTGGTTCACGCACATTGTTGCTGCAATACTCAAGACAAAGCATACGTCTGGTTTTAGGTAATTGCTTAAGAAGTTGGTGAAAACTAAGGCATTTTCGGGCAATTAAGTGTTGAGTTATCTATGATTTCTATATTACAGTGGAGAATCGCATGAGGTACTCGATGCAGAGATTTCAGCATGTGTTCTGCAATTGGTAAATATTTCTGACAGTGGAATTCACAATAAGGTATATGAATATTCAAGGATACAATTTAGTGTTTATATTTGAAAAATTGCATGATCTTACAATGTGGTATATGTTTTTTAGTCTTGCTATCTAGTGGGCTCTGGTTTATTCAATTGATAACAGCCGAGTAGTACAATAGTATTCCTAATTTATTCTCACAGGATTGGGTTTTTTGTTCTATATTATATTTCTGCACTATGCTTGAGTAATTATTCGTAAAGTCTATTTGACGTCAACTGATAAATCCAAAAAAAGTTCTTAACAGAATTCTGAAAACTGAATATTCTGTTTCTCATTAATTATTGGTAGTGATGATTACTGTTAATATTTAATATTAACTTACTAATATAGGAATAGTATGGAAATATACTCTAGAATATTCTAGAATATTCTCTTAGCACCGCATGTTATATAGATTATTCCTTAGCATAATCCTTTGTAATTATTACTCATTATTATATTATTGGCTGTATAATAGAATTTCTGTAGTGCAGTCTAAACACAGTTTCACCTAATGCCTCTTGTTTTCTCTTATTTTGTCTTTTTCAATATGGTATCTAGAGCCTATTGAGAGAGAACCATACACCGTGTGTATCCGGTAGATTCACTGTCATCTGTTGAGAAATTTTTTCCGGCCAACTATGTCTCAATTCCGGTTTGTCCATCCTATGCTGCCGTCACCTAGTCTGACACTCATTTTGATAGTATTTCGGGCCACTACCGCCACTGTAACCACCTTCTCTGGCGACTTTTCCTGTGAGTGACCACCACTACAGTGCTATCTTGTATCCTCCAGATTGGCCTGTCCATTGAATATCGCCACCTTCAACCACCACACGTGCCATTTTCTTACCCGCGCATGAGATTTACGTACCTCCACACCTGCCGTGCGTGACAGTGCGTTCGGCCTCCGTTCCATATTACCCTCATCTTTCAGTTTTGATTCACGGAAATACGTTCTACTGTTCAAACAACTTGTATTTTCATCTGTTGATGCATTTTTTCCCTCTCTCCCGGGATAGCCATGGCTGCTACAGGTACTTCTAACATTGTTCAGGCCTCTCTGCCAAGCTATTAAGATTTCCTCTGGTGCTGTTAGAGTAATCTGAACATCGGTACTACTTCGGTTGCACACACGGGTAATTTATTTGTTTGTCTTTCTCAATCATCTTCTCTTGGACATCGTGTTCTTGACGCCGGTGCATCTGACCATATTACTGGTAATAATCTATATGTACATTTGTTTTCTTACCCATTATAACTTTTGCCATTGGTTCTTGTTCCGGTCTGGGCCAACACATATGTTATAAATGTCTAACAACACATAAGCTTAACACTACCAACAATCTAGTACCAACAATCTACGTAATAAAAGTTTCTAACTCTAAAATGCCTCTTATCTCCGATTGTCACTAATTCTATCACCTGCCTAAAATACATGCTAACAATGTAAAATATAAATTGTGACTGCCAAATTGTGACGCCACTTTATATAAATTCTTTTTAGGCTCTATCTTTAACAAATGCGGGATTTGAATTTTTTTTCAATACACATTCTCACATCCAACACTATTTGCCTTAGTGTGTGGATATAAACCGTAGGTGACCCCACAATTATCGATATGTGGAATTTGGTTTTTCCAATACCCCCCTATGCCCAACGCTATTGGACTTGGCGCACATATATAAATGGTGGGTGAGCCGAATCACTATGCTCTTAATACCATGTTAAAGCGAAACTGAATTGAGAGAGAAAAATCAAAATTCTATTGATTGAAAGATAGAATTGTACATTGAGTGATGTGATGATGCAGAAGCATCTATTTGTAGACTATGCCACATCAGTTAATTCTGTTACGGTAGTTATTGTTGGTTGTTGATCTGCCGCCTTTAAGGCACAGTTATGCAGCAATTAATAAGAGACAACAATATAGATTTTATAGCTGTATTATATGAATACGTTTATACTTATTTACACAGCCATATATAATATTTCCCTTTTTTTAAAAAGGAATTAATTTGAGTTAATTAGGATTTAATTAGTTTCTATAGTTACTTGTACTCCCTAGGCTATTTAGATCATATTCTCTTATATACAAACTCAATAAGAAGAAATACAGAATTTCTACATACATGGCATCAGAGCTACTGATCTGGTCCAAAAGAAAAAATTAGGGTTTTCCCATGGAGTAAAAACAAACAGCTCAAACATCTCAGATGCTGATCCGATGCGACTGGAACACCACCAGTCATAATGAGACAACTCTAATTATACACAGTGGTCCAGATCTGTCCGACTCTTCCTCCAAGGAAAGGGAAAGAAAGACTACATCACCGGCGACGCTAAGCAGCCAACCAAGACTGATTCAAACTGTGCAAAGTGGAAACTTGAAAACAATCTTGTGATGTCATGGTTACTCAACTCCATGACAAATGAGTGTGGTGAAAATTTCATGTATTATAGCAATGCTGCAAAAATCTGGAATGCAACCAAGGAGACCTACTCAAATGTGGATAACACTTCAGCCATATTTGAAATCAAAAGTCTCTTACATAATTTTCAACAAGGAGACTCTCTAGTAACAGAGTACTATCACACTCTCACAAAGTACTGGCAGCAACTTGACATCTATGCCGACACAGAGTGGAAGTGTCCAGAGGATGAAAAAAATCTACAAAAAAATTGATCGAGAAGGATAGAATATCAATTTTTATTGGGATTGAATAAAAATTTAGATGAAGTAAGGGGAATGATTCTTGGAACTAAACCTCTCCCTAGCATCCGTGAAGCATTTGCAGAAGTAAGAAGGGAAGAAAGAAGAAGAAACGTTAGTAAAAGTGTAAACATTGAAGACTCTGCCCTTGTAGCAAGAGGCCCACCAAAGAAAGGTAGAGGATGGTGTGATCATTGCAAGCGTCCTGGACATACAAAGGAAACATAGTGGGTGCTTCATGGGAAACCCATGGATCTGAAACCACGACACAAGGATACACACGCATATGCTGCTACTGTTGATGAAAGTAAATCCAAAAGTACATCAGAGGCAAGCCCTTTCAACAAAGAACAAATAGAGATGTTGTAGAAAATGATGCAACAAGCAATACAAAACACTAGAACTTCATCTTCCACTGTTGCTCTTGCCCAAAAAGGTAATTTTTCTATTGTCCTTCATGTTAATCAACAGAAACCAAACCAATGGATTGTTGATTCTGGCGCATCGGATCACATGAGTGGGGACATCAATGTATTTAGGAAATACACTCCCTGTTAAGATGGATCTTTTGTCCGAATAGCAGATGGTACTACCTCTAAAGTGGCTGGTAAAGGTTCACTGATTATCACTAAAGCTATTACATGTTCCAAATTGCAGCTTGTTGTCTATCTATAAATTAACCCAAAATTTGGGATGTATTGCCAAGTTTTTACCAAATTTGTGCGAATTTCAGAATATGAATTCGGGGAAGATGATTGGCAATGCCGAGGGGTGTGCAGGTCTTTACTACCTAAGAGTTGAAAAACAAAATAAAAGATCATACAAGGCTTCCCTAACATGTTTATCCAAGAATGAGAATGATGTAATGTTATGGCATTAACGCCTAGGACACCCAAATTTTATATATTTAAAAAAGATGTTTCCATCATTATTTAATAAAGATTCTGGTTTTTTCAAATGTGAAGTGTGCGACACCAAGTCTCATTATTCCATACAACCTTATAAGCCATCTAAACCTTTCATCCTTATTCATAGTGACATGTGGGGGCCTTCACGAGTGAGCAATATTACTGAGTCACAGTGGTTTGTGACCTTTATTGATGACCATACAAGAGTCACTTGGGTGTTTCTCATGAAAGAAAAGTTAGAAAGTAAGGAGTATATTTGAGAACTTTCATAAAATGGTTCAAACCCAATTTCAAAGCTAACATTCAAATCCCAAGGACTGATAATGGGGAGAGTACTTCCACCACACCCTTGGTACATACCTTGCCAAAAATGGGATTGTACACCAAACTTCATGTCCATATTCTCCCCAACAAAATGGAACAACAAAGAGGAAAAATAGACACTTATTGTAAGTCACTCGAGCCCTCATGTTGTCCATGAATGTACCTAGCCATTTTTGGGGAGACGCAGTTCTTTCTTCATCATACCTTATAAATAGAATGTCCTCTAAAACACTCAACCTAAACACACCTCACCAAACCCCTGTTGTCCTTTTATCCTTCTACCTAACTCATCACAAATCTCCCACCAAAGATTTTTGGATGTACGACATCTGTACATGATCGAAAGCCAAATCCCAACAAGCTGGACCCAAAAGCCATCTGATGTATATTCTTGGGATACTCTCCTACTAAGAAAGGATATAAATGCTATTGTCCTCAGAAAAAACGAATCTATCACACTATAAGTGTCACGTTTTATGAAGAGAATGCCCTTTATTCCAAGGCTGCCATTCAAGGGGAGAAAGTAACAATTGATGAACACCAACCTTGGGAAATTACTATACCAAAATATGTCCCAAATTCTGTCTCGTAATCTGTCCCATAATCTGTCCCGCAATCTGTCCCGCAATCTGTCCCAGAAATCGTTCCAGAAAATGTACCAGAATCTGTCCCAAAATCTAACCCACTGAAACCTGACTCAACCACTAAAAATTTAGAATCTGCCCAAATAATACTTGAATCTGAATTGGACCAGCAAGCAACCACTCTTGAGGTTACCAAGACAACAAATGGAGGAAAAGAACTACATGTATACACAAGGAAGAAAAACAAGCTTCAAACTCTTAAAGAAGTAGAAACATGCACTCTTCCAAAGCAGATCCAAGGCTCTGTCCAAAATTCAGATGAACCTACTCACAAAGTAGTGTGCATCAGCATATACTATCTTAGGCGTTTGGCTGCCCATGCAAGGGCACAACACGTCTTCTCAAGCAATGAGTATCTGGACTCGTAATCTGTGAACTTCTTGCTAAAATAGTAAATAGGTTGTTCTTTCTTCCCAGACTCATCGTGCTGACCGAATACACAATCCTTGGAATTTTTCAGGACTATCAAGTACATGATTAAAGGCCTCCCCTCAATTGGGTGCATAAGGATTGGAGGTTCCTGTAAGTACTCTTTTATTCTGTCAAAAG